TTGTGTTTCGTGGAATAAAGTGAATAAGAAAACCAATAAAACAGCCTGCAAGATCCCTATACTTTCTTTCGAAATGAGCACTGATCAGCTGCAAAAGTGATTTCCTCCAGTTTTGAGTTTGGCCCACCTGGACTTACATAAAGCAGTACAGGATAATTGGATTTGATCTCAATAACAATATCAGAAGCATTAATTTCCATATTTCAAGTGCACAGTCTTCTGCAGAGATAGAAGGGGCAGCTGGATAAGGAGACGAGGTGGGTGCAGAAAGCTTTCTAGAGAGAAGACATAAATCCGAAATTACACTTTTTTTCCCCGTTTGTTAATCAGTTTGTTAATCAATCCCCGTTTGTTAATCAGTTTGTTAATCAATCCCCCTGTTTGTTAATTGTTAATCTTGACAATCAAAAATTGTTAGGAGAGAGCTGGGCTAGGAGAACATCCAACCCCTGTCCAACCTTAACCTGCCTGTAGCACTTGAAGATGAGCAGGGTATTAAGATGTGACAAGCCTGATGAAAAAGAGATGGAATGGTATAGTAATGGGAAAAAGTGCCTATCCCTGACCAATTCCCTGATATGAAAATCCTGGACAAAATCTTCTATCTGTGAACTTAATTAGCTGTGAGAGGTCAGGCAAACCTATTGTTTGATTGTCAAAACACCAAACAAAAATGCAAGTCTTCAATGCGCAAAGCTCACTTCTGAGCTGGAATTACAAAAAGTAATTCCATTACTTATTTAAGAGAAAGGCACTCTATTGCTTGTCTATTCTGAAGGCTGTTTAAATAGAAACCAGACATGAACTAGGAATGAAAAACAACTCTACTGTCTTCAGCAGGAAAAACACCCCACTGATGATTTCCTCCTCCATAAAGCCCAGGCATGATGTCCAGTGCTCACTAGACATCTTTTATACAGTCCAGTCATCCACTACTTTTAAGGACATCTAGCAAAATTCTGTCACTCAAAACACATTAAATCTTCAAGAATCAGAATTAAGAGCCTGGACCTTCCTTCATCTTCCCCAGTTATTTTTGTTAACATTAGGGACTTTTCAAGAAGTCCCGAGACCAGCTGGGAAGGAGCACACATTTCCTATCTCCACAAAGTTCTCAAGGCTCATTAGAGGAAAAAAAAAGCCCTTATTTTTGCAATAAAGCAGCCTGTGTGTAACATCTAAAAGCAGCCAAAGTTGTCTCCTCACCACTGTATAAAATCAAACCTCCTCTATCTCGCAGATTTTGTCCACCCAATTCAAGCTTGTTTTTCCTCCAGCAGTGGTAAGAGCTTGTTTCTGGGACTAGAAGTGGAAGCTATTGCTACTTTGCAGAACAGATAATCCTCTGGCACCAGGAACTGGATTTATGGGCTAATTTCCTCAATTCTACAGTTTGTGTTCAGGCATCCCTGAATTCTTGATTCAACAAACTTCAGAAAAAAAACAACTGCCAGCAAAGAGCTGTTTTCAATAAACAGTTGCAATGAGTGACTGCTTACAGACCAGACTACTGCTCCCAATCCTCACCCTTCCAGAAGTCATTACTGTACAGCAACAGCAAAGTGAACGTTTATGCATATCTAAGAAGAGAGGTGAGCAGTTCCATGCTTTTCCATGCTTCCTGGCTGTCTAGAAGAGGAAAGCAGTTCTTCAGAATGCTCTGGCAAAAGCATGGACCTCTGGGCTCTGCCAGTAGAGAGTTGAGCATCTCTGCCATCTCAGCAGGCAGCAGGAATGCTAGGTTTAAGCATTTGCCAGATAGGTGTTAAGGGTTTTGCAATGGCTGGCTACCAAATAAATAGCCACAGGGCACAGCTTTTCTTCTCTCGCTTCACAAACACCTGCCAGAAAAACTCTACAGACAAGGCACTCATTTACACCCATCTCTAATTTAATCTGGCCCTCCAGGGTCAGATACCTGGTTCTAATTGAGTGATATTAATATACTCCTCCAATTACGTAACATAAACCAACACCTCGAGGTGTGTGCTAACCACTGATATTTATATTAATCCTGCCAGCCACTTCAAACCTAACATCCTTAAGGAAGTTAGAAAGAATTCGCCTCATGCTCTTGACCTTAAGATATCATCTTTTTAGCTACTGCATAGCAGAGTACCTCCAAATACAAAATATAATGAAAGAAAGGTAGGACAAGGAATTTCAGACTGGATTTCTCTGTCAGTGTCAAGGGAAAGCCAAAAATTGGACTCGGACCTACACAGCTGCCAGGGAATCAGTTTCTCTTTAGTTATGCCCATAGCTGTGCCACTTTCCAAAATTCAACTTGAAATTAGGGCCCTATTTTAAGTAGTTTAAGTTCAGAATTATTTCCTATAGACTCAACTTCTACAGCTGATCTTATCTGGCAATAACTTACACTGACAGTGTAACAGACTATTACTTTCTATGCAACAGGGAGAGATTCAACACTCAAACACACAAAAAACTCAAATTCCTTTAAGGATAAGGCCTCTGCCAGCAGAGATGTCTGCCTAAATCTCCCTTAATGCTCCCTCAAAAGCAGTGACAGATGTGCAGATCTGTGCTTTTCCAATCCTGCATAATGCCAGTTGCACCTTACAGAGATCAAAATGACAGAACAAAGTAGCGTCAGCTCAGGAAAACCAAAGTACGTAACAGAAAGATGCCCAGAATTAGGCTATACAATTCACAGACTGAATCTGAAACAAAGCCCTGGCTGGCTCATTTTCAATTACATAGTTTAGAAAAGGGATTCAGAAGCATTTCTGCAGTGTTTTGTAACATCTGGATGCAACATGGAGCTTGGCTGAATCCCAGACACTTCCAAAACTTTAATCAAGGGGAGCACAAGGACAATGGTTACTCTTTTCCAGATCTGCTCCATGTGACACAAGCATGAGTGTGGGGAATTCAGACTGTAAGAGGCAAAGAGAAGAGTTATTGTAAGCTAGAGAAGCAGCACAGAGGATCAGAATCCTACATAACAAGATTGGGACATTAGCAGGGTGGCTTTTTGGGGTAGGGAAGCCAGAGTCAGGCTTGTCCTGTTCTTTGTTCCAGCTTCCACAAAAACATGTTTCTCATCGCAGGCAGCCTGAGAAGAATTTGCCCCTGGGAATGGCAGAAGCTCCAGCTGGAAGAGGGCTCAGACAGGATTAGAGACAGAACAAAAAGGTCAGGCTTTCATCTGTGTGCAGTGGCACTCTCTGGTCTGAAGTATAAAAGCAATTTTGCAATGGAAGGTTTCTGGAATGCCCATGACAACAACATGACTGAAGCCAACGGTCTATTGTAAATAGAGGTGTCCTCTGTGCTTCAATCAGAGTTCTTACATCTGTCTCTTGTGATATCTCAGGTCAGCAACACCACACAGCAGCCTCACCTGTACTGCAGCCTGCAGGGTTTCCATCTGAAGTACAGCACACAGGTAGTCACCCACAGTGCAGCACAAGGCACCCATGCTGCCTGTTTGGAGACCTCTAACTCTGACCTGCTTCTTCCTCTTTAACATATTCTGCCTCTTCAGTGCTTTGATGCTTTCACCTTCCTAAATCTTTGCACCCTGGTGAAGGGTGAGGAGTCTCATTTCTGTTCTGCAGAAAAGCTATTGCCAGTTGTGCTGCAAATCAGAGACAGACAGGAAGCACCTAGCTAGCAGTGTAACGAAGGAGGAGAAGCTGTACCAGCTAGATGTTGTTTCCCATTTCTCTAAAAGCAAATGGGAGATCACCAAGGCTTTTCTAATCTTAATTAAACAAAATCCTGCAGCTGCTTTGGACCAGCAAAAGAATTTTAGATGGGATAATATGCCTCTGCTGTGTTTATTCTCATTTTCTTCACAGAAAGAGCAAGATTAGCTTCATTTTGTTTTCTTGGACACCGAGAACTTTCATGGCATTTACCCCAGGAGCAGACGAGTCATTTACCCCTTCATTTGTAGCTTATCTTTGCCAATTTTCACAATCAGAAGCTTGCAGATAGAGAATAACCCACACGTATGGCAATTGCAGGGCAGTTTGCCTGTGCAGTAAAAATTGATCCATGAGGACCTAGAAGAAAAGCTGCAGACCTTCAGCAAAAGGTAACACCACTGATGAAACTTCTCTGTTTTGGAATCAGACAACTATTATCAACTTTTTAACTATTAAAGGATACAGAAGGAGAAGGGAAGTCTTGGGATCTCACCCAGCTGATGCTTGACTTTTATCCTGGAGGTCTAAAGACTTAGAAGTTACTCTTAAACTTACACTTTATCTAACTCTGGATGTTTTAATTACCCACAGATCATCCTTCTCTTAATGCCTTATCAATAAACTGGCCTCCATAACACTGGACTTAGACTGACTGCTTGCTGTAAAAAACACATCACTTGTCAACTTCAGTTAGATCACCTTTCAGCATTAATGTTCTCTTGCTCGTCCACCATGCACAAACAAAAGCATGGGGTTTGATTTACCTGTTTTGCAGACTACTGTGCACCCCACCCTTAGATCTCCCATCTCTAAAAAGAACAGCACTGCAGCCCACAAACAAGCACTCCCAAGACAAGAGTGTCCAGAGAGATTAGAATTAGATGCTAACAAATGAATTTAGAATTAATTATTTTAAATTATAGAACATTATAGAATACTGTGGGGAGTAATAACTCCGTGCCTGCAACTGCTGGACAGTATGCTAGCAGCTATTCTGCAGCTCTGGGTACTTTTTAGGGAGTTACCTTCCTTGAACTTTCAAAAAAAACAAAAAAAACAAAAAAAACAAAAAAACCCAACCCTATCCTGTTAGAACAGACTTTTCACATCCTGCACCTTCAAGGCTTTCATGTTATTGAAGTACCAGAGTTAGTCACCAAGAGGGCTAGAATCCAATAGGCAAAAATTACTGGAAACTTTCCTCATTTCCTAGCCCTCTCCCTCTCAGTTCTGTCCTGAAGTAGTGTGAAGTCTCTCTTGCACATCCCAAACTTCCTTGGCTGAAACCTGTTCCAATTTCACCCAGTAAATACCTGATACAAACAGATGAACTGGGAGGGGCCAGAAAGCTTCACATAGTTTCAGGGGGTGGAAGTAAACAGAAAAAACGTATTTAAGATGCTTGGAGAGAGACTTAGAAAGCTCATACTCTGACAGGAGGGGTCTGAAAAAAGGCTGATTCTTCAGGCTCCACCTTCACAGGCTCACTTCATTGGAAGAAAGCTAGGTACCATTCTGCTGCAGCACTTGCAGCAAGTTTCATACATACCCCAGCTGCATTCAGACTGCCCGCAGTCAGTTGGGAGCTTTCTGTTGCTGTAAGCAAAAAATGCCAGCAAGATCCACTGTTCAGCTGGCATGGCTCTGCATTATCACTGTGTCTGTTGCTGTCTATCCAGCACTGCTGCAGAAGCCTCCTAAAAGGAGGACGATCAATGGGAACGTACAGTCCAAGATGACGGGATGCTGCGATGAGATTAAAGAGCTCAAGTTGCAAGTAGCCAACCTGAGCAGAATGCTGCAGGAGCTGAGCAAGAAGCAGGAAGGTGACTGGGTGAACGTGGTCATGCAGGTGATGGAGCTGGAAGGAAGCACCAAGCAGATGGAGTCCCGCCTCATTGATGCTGAGAGCAAGTACTCCGAAATGAACAACCAGATAGATATCATGCAACTGCAGGCAGCTCAGACGGTCACGCAGACTTCGGCTGGTAAGGAGGGAGTCTCCAAGCTCCCAGCTGCACATCTTAATGCGCAAAATGAACTAACGATTAGTTCTTAATGCTAGCATGTCCCACTAACGTGCTTATCCAGGCTGCGTACTGAATACATCTGCTTAAAATACTTCTGTAGGCAGGTGATCCCCAGGAAAAAAGCTATTTGACTTCATGTCAAAAGTCCAGAGATCCAGCTGTATTTTAATGCCTGCATGCTTGCTACCAGGAAGTGGAAAAACTGAACAGATAATGTGTTAGCAGTGATTAATTCAGTAAGCCACCTTACTTTATGAGCACTGAAGCACCAATCCAGACAAAAAAGCTGGCTCAGGGAGGAAATGGCTCTAGCAGTGACATCCTTTGAGTTCACAGTGCTGACAGGGGACCAGAAGTTGGTAAAGCAATAGGAAATGCTTTCCAAGCATTACTGTAGATTTGTAATTGCATCTTTATGATGATCTCTGAGGAAGAGTAAGAGACTCAGTCCATTATTTGAATGATGATTCTTCAAAATTCAAAAGGTGCAGATGATGCAGCATGTAAGTGGTGATATATGCCCAGCCAAAACACATTTAAATCACTCAGAATTCTCTCTTCCCTAGGGGAAGATTTCAATGCACACAGCAATTGCACAGGCTTGTAATGTGGAATGCAGGTGCATTTTGTAGTTCAGCTACCTGTACAGCAATTTCTAGAAGAAAGTGTCATTCAGTTTCTGCTGGCTTTTATCTTAAAGAGAAATTGATTTCAATAAGCTTAAGATTTCTTTTAGACTGTTATTGCCCAGGATGATTGAATTTGCAGAAAAAAAAAACCAAAATAAACACATACACACAATTTGGTTTTTTTTTAAATGCAAAGGAAAAACTTCTAAATCCATTTACTAAATTCTGCTTTCAGAACATTTGAGATGCTCAGCTTTCACACACCACTCACTGCTTCCAGCAGGTCTTTGAGATTTCACCATGAACTAAATTCACTGGAGCCATAGTAAAAGCACAGAAAAAAAATATTAACAACACACAAGAAACTAGCCCAGAGGGTATTTAATGCAAGCATGTCTGACTACACCAGGTGAGACACATTGAGTCTGTACTAAAAATCTGTCAGAACAGGTAAAGCCTTGCTTCAGTTAGCTTATCTTCCTCAGAAGCAGTGCATATCACCAGCACCGAGTCAGCTCCTGCACAGGGAGAAAGGAGGCTCACAGAGACTGACTGCAGCTAAAAGCCACTGGCTGTCACAGTTCCAGTGCAAAAAGAGCTGAGCTAACACACCTCACCCACAAACTCAGCTAACCTGCTCAAGCACACAGCCAAAGAAGCACCTGGCTGCAGGCCCATCCATTCTACTGGAGAAGGCTTCACTATTGGAAGGGGACAGCAAATACAGCTTCTTACCTTTCAGCACAGACATATACAGTTGCAATGGGAAAAGGAGTAAAGACCTCTCTTTGGACCATTTCAGATAAACAGACTTGTAGGAAGGACTTCCTTAATTCTTCTTATTTATCTCTCATGCTACAAATTAAGCTTTGAAGAAAGCAGACTCGGGGAAGGGGGCATTATTCCCACAGCTCAGGTTCTTACTTTATGGTTTTGATTCAAGTAGATGCTGTCTATGACTGCTCATCACTTTATCAGAGGAACTATCGCATCTCTGGTGTTTACAAGCTACCTCCTGATGAATTTCTGGGGAGTCCAGATCTGGAGGTAAGGATGTAATGTACACAACAAACATTAAGTGCTTTCTGAAATATAATACAGAAAAGTAAGAGAGCACACAGTGAGTTATGATGCCCTGCACTTTGAGCCAGCATCTTTACGTAGGCAAATCTGGGAGGAAAGTGCATTTGAGGGCAAACTGTAAGGTATACAGTGTAAGGATAACAGTGGTTTTTTTGTTCCAATTCTTTTTAAATAAAACAGGAAGTTCTCCAACTTGTGAAAGCTGGAACAGTGCTGTTTCTTGTCTTGTTTCAGCTGAAAACAAACTTCCTATGTCTCCCAATAAGCACTGCACTTTTCCTCTTCTAGGTGTTCTGTGACATGGAGACAGATGGAGGTGGCTGGACAATCATTCAGAGGCGTAAAGTTGGTCTGACATCTTTCAATAGGGACTGGAAACAATACAGGGATGGATTTGGCAACATTCGAGGAGATTTTTGGCTGGGAAATGAAAACATCTACCGACTTTCACGGCGTCCCACTGTTCTGCGGGTAGAGTTGGAGGTAATTAAAAGCTCTCCACCTCAGCAACCAAAGGTTGTTGGCTGTTGTTTTGGTGTTTTGTTTTGTATGGAGCAGTTCTTCCAAAGCAGATACCATCTCTTATTGTAATAGAAGGCTCAAGGAATGTGCATGCTTTAATTATAGGAGAAGGAAGCAGGATGGACCCAGTGACAGATTCAAGGACAAAGTAGAACCATGATCTCCAGCAAGCAAAAATCAAGGTTACAACTTCAAACTCCACGTAGTGTCTTCAGTAATGTGAGCTCTAGAGAACCCTGCATGATCCTCTGCAGACAGAACAAACTGCTACCACTGCAGATTTAAACATTCACTCAGGAATCTGATAAAGATTTTGAGGCCAAGTCTTCCTACTGTGCAGCAATTGTTTCTGGTTCATGCACAAGTTAGTTTGCACTGTATTACCCAAAAAGTGATTTCTACAGTCTCCTTAGGGCTTGGTTCTGGTTTGGGTTAGCTTACAGTCAGCACAATTGCTTTGAGGGATGGGATAAGTAAAACAGAAGTGAGCTGCAAGGCTTTATGTCTAGAAGTTGCTCTTTCAGAGAAAAAAAAAAAAAAAGAGACTTGAGGCTGCACACTATCAAAGGAGTCTGCTGGATGTGAGAGCTACAAACCAGGTTTCCATACATACTGTTTGATACCAGTGCAGAGACTTGGAAACATAGTATTTTGCTCTGGAAAGTTTCTTTGCCTTCTTTGTTCCATCAACCTGTTGCTGCGATGGAGAAGACTCATAAGAAAGGACAGAGAACAGACTTGCAACACGCACTGTATATAAACACAGGCCACACAGTCTTTTTGTAACCATTCTAATAGGAATTATTTCTTCCTCACTGTTTATGACAGGACTGGGAAGGTAACATACGCTACGCACAATACAAGCAGTTCACCCTGAGCAATGAATTAAACAGCTACCGTCTTTTTGTGGGCAACTACACTGGCAACACAGGACGTGACTCCCTGAGGTACCACAACAACACAGCCTTCAGCACAAAGGACAAAGACAACGACAAGTGTGTGGATGACTGCGCCCAGTTCCGTAAAGGTAAACTGCCGCAGTGAGCTTGTTGAGCACACGAGACTCTGTCACAAAGATCACTGTCTCCTCTGCTTCTTGCCCTTCATTTTTTCACTTTCTGTTCAAACCCATGTGATGCGTAAATAAAAACTGCTGATATCCATCTAAATAAAATAATGCATTTTAGCCACAGAGCCCAGAAACCCTTTCTAAAGGCCGCCAGATGTCCACGCTAGGAACCCAAATTCATTGCCTGTGCTGTCAGTCAGAAAGAAGGCAAAGAAATACTCCGAGAGGAACGAGCAAATAAATGAAAAACTAACAGACTAAACTGTCTCTTTAACTTCTAAGCATTTGTGCATTCAGTATTTATGTTAGGTTTTGAATTTACCTGTAACGCCATCTATCAGGGCCACAGACTCTAAGAATTAAATACTGCATTCTGGGCAATTTCTTTAGAAGAGAGCAATAATTCATCATGATTATTAGTACAACACATACCTGTTTTTAAATAAGTGGCTGACTGAGAATTTATTAATTTGTTTTCTGAAAAGGTGGATATTGGTACAACTGCTGCACAGATTCCAACCTGAATGGGGTTTACTACCGCAAAGGAGAACACACCAAAAACATGGATGGTATCACCTGGTACGGATGGCATGGCTCAACCTATTCCCTAAAACGGGTTGAGATGAAGATCCGGCCAGAGGACTTCAAACCATAGAGGAAATCAATCCCTGATCACACAGCTTCATGATGCCACTATGGAGAAGGTGGGCAACTAACAACTCCCACCAATTAATTGTCCACTTCATCTAGTATGTGCAAAACATGCACAGTATGTACACGCAGAGTCACTAAGGCTCACCAAACACCAGATACAGCCACCAGTGTTATCAGGGCTCACACTTATCTCCTCCTCTGAAGATTCTTTCTAAAGGGATAAATACTGTGTTAGAATAGGTTAGAACAAAAGGCAAAACACCTCCTGCACTTTACAGCACCTTCAGAAAACTTCCTGGTGTGTTTTCACTAGCATTGCAAATCATGGGTTGTACTGATCAGTTAGGCAGGGACTGCAAAAAGAAAGCCTCCTTGTTCCCATTCCATCTGTCAAGTGTAAGTATTGCTGCTTAGCTCCTTTCAAGAGGGATTCAAATGACAAAAGCAACATATTGGTCTCAAACCAAATCACCAAACAGAAGTGTTCTTGATGTACCTTTTTTCAGCTTACATCCCCACAGAAGGAAGAACGAAGCCCAAACATTCTCCATAAGCTAATATTGTGCAGGTTCTCTCCTGAAGTTTTACTGCCATCTCCTGCTGCTGTCCCCACAGACAGCTGCACACAGCAGACAGTGCCCTGGAGAAAGGATTTATCCCATATCCTATACAATACTTATTCCTAAAGCCTGATAAAACTAGATTGCAACATTTCAGGCCACCACCAAATTATGTTCGTGTTAGGATATAGAAGTGTTCTATAAGGCAGTAAGAAAATAAGAACACAGCAAGTTAGCAAAAATAAAGACCCAGCCAACCAACCCCACTCCCACACCTGAAACCACTGTATCCTCAAGCAAAACACTACTACACACCAGAGAACCCAAGTTATTAAATCACACTTCATGTGCTGAGAAATATCCACATTTGTTCTGAAGATCTTCCTACTGAAAGTGAACTGGAGATGTTATGTTGAAAATCAGGATCTTGTTTCTCCCTTTTATAACACAGTGTTGCAAATAACATTAAAAAAAGACTCCTCCCATAGCCATACTCTTGTTTGAATATGTTGGAAAAGATATAGTTATATTTAATATATCTATTTTTATTCACCTTAAAGAGGACTTGAATCTAATTTAAATTGTTTGGTCTCATATGAAAATGGAGATAGAAGTGTCAGAAATTGCTTTATCTATGTTTGATTATTAAATGTTTGACTATTCATACTATAAATTTCAGCTGCATGGAACTATAGCTGGAACCATTTAAACTGTGGTTTAGAAAGAGGATTTGAAAGATTTCTAAACTTCAAGATTTCTAATAAACTGCCTTTCATTTTTAATCTTGATTTATTTCAACTCTTTGCTCCTTAACTTGCTTTATGGTGCACAAAGAAATAACTGCACAACTGACCACAACTGACACACTGAATTCTGTATCTTTTCCTCAGAAAAATAAAAGGACAAATGAAACAAATCAAATAGAAGCTGGGAGCAAGGTGGGGAGGAACAAGGAAGCAAACACCAAGGAGTTATAAGGATTGAAAAATGACAGCATAGAGACAAAGCCAATTTTTGTGTAACCAAAATCAACCTGTCGATATCAGATTGGAGCATTAATGTGAAAAGGATAAGAAAGAGATTCATGTTTGAAAACGTGTTGTTTAGTACCAAATCCAAACCCTTCAGAGTTCTGAAGCCAAGAGGTGTATTATTAAGCAGAGCTGCTGGTAGGCAGAGAAGGGGTACACCACAATGCAATGGCAGAAAGCCTCCTGAAATTATAATATGGATCCAAAGTTATAATCTCTCTTAAAAGAAAGAAATTTAAAGAAATCACTTTAGCAGAACTTCTGTTCCTACAGTGAGTGACACTTTGTTCTAGTGTTTCTGTGGGCACGCTCTGAAGTCAGGCTTTTGAACTCTGAGACAGCAGAACAAAGCAACTGCAAGATGAAAATGGAAAGAGGCTCAAGAGGGCACGAGACCACTCTTGTTCAGAACATGCACAGTAGCTTCCTCTGCTTTGTTACTAACTGTGCATGTATTCCAGACAGGGGGGTTGAAACTAAATAATCTTTGAGGTCCTTTTCAAATCAGGCCCTTGTATGATTCCATGATTTTTGTTGACAAAGCTCAGGACAGTACACTACCCCATTCAATACAGTATGTTCAATTGGATATATGAAGAATGAAGTCTACCTAAGCCAGAAGAGTAGAATTTGACTAGAAATTTTAGTCAAAAGCTTCAGCTGTTCTGGCTTATTTATTTGTAGGTATAGAAGTCTCTTTCATTAAGGTTAAAGCCACTCCAAGTAGCCCTATACTGAACTTGAAGGTATAAGGGAGGAAATCAGAACTATCCCCACCTTTTCAGCTTCCTGTAGCAGAATTTAGCAGTCAGGAGTGTACATCTACAAGCTAGAGAAGGTAAGCCTACAACAGAAACTTATGGTAGATACTGAAATTCTAACAACTGTCCATATACATCTTTATATTTTCCTAAATTGGGAACCGATGTGGGAGCAAAAAAATCTCGTCAGTTGTGGTCCTACCTGATAAGAGACTCTAGAATGGCTGGTGTGGGACCCTTCTGAAATTCCAGCTCCTTGTAGTGAAGAGCCTTGGCATATGCTCGGCATTTGGCTGCTCTCTCCCCCAGGAGGACAATGCCATTGTCATCTCTCAGCGGCAGTGGACCCTGGGTAAAGCACATACACCAAAAGAAAGTTAATTAAATAAAAAGAAAGTGAGAAAGTATGCATGAACTCTTCACATCCTTTCTATGCACCAGACACCTGCCAACTACCCAGTGTTAGAAAGCTTGACAGCATGTCTACCTTGTCGCTGTGTTCCATGAATTCTGCCAAGTTCAGCAGTGTCTGAGTGACCTCTGCAATGTCCTGAGAAGTCAGGGCCAACTCAATGCTTCGGATCAACTCATCCTGCTGGTCTTCATTCAGTTCAGACCAACATGAAACGAAAGCAGCATTGAAGAGATCTCTGAAGAGACAAAAAAAAAAAAAAAAAAAAAAAAAGATTACTCGTGAGAAAAAGCATATTTGACAGCAAGCAAAGATAGCTACAAACAGCATGTATGTATCCACCTGTGAAACACAGCGGTTAGCTTTTACAAAAGCAGCTTCTGTACCAAATACTGAGACCTACATTATAAAAATACATAATAGGATGAGACAATATGAGAGTAAGAGATACTACTATCATTTGCTAGTAAGTATTTTAGGCTAGAACTAATCTTCAGAGCAGCTTTTATGTGAATGCTTTTATGTGACAAAGGATGGGGCCTCATTTGACTTCGGTTACAAATGAATACTGCGAAAATAATTGGGCATTTCACCAGATGTGCACAGACACTTTCTGAACTCACTAGAGGACTGCAACAGCTGGAGACTGCATTAGTGGCAAATCTTGGGGAGGGAGAAGGAATGGTGATGAAAAAGATAGCGACTGCCCTTGTCACTATTAGTGCTCTGCAGAAATCCTGTGAAATGGATTTGTGATGCATTTGCAAGTACGTATGGAGGACAGGAGCATCATCTGTCTACCTAGGAAGTGCTGACCTTTTATCACACCCTTTCAATTTCCTAAGTGACAAAGCTCACTGTAACATAAAATTAAACCAGGGCAAACACTTCCCTATCAGCAGTAGCCAGATTCTTATGTACTGAGATGACAAGTGTCTATTGTAATGAAGAGATAACTGGGCAACTGCTTACAGAAACTCTACACTTCTCCAGACATTCTGGCTGCAAGCAAGCACAGCAGCTTACTCCACTCCATGGAATTTTTATTCACCCACAACAGACCCATGAGACTATTTCATACTCCAGTTCCACTTTTATGTGTCTTATGTTATTTCTAGACTAATACGCAGAATTCCACTGAAGATTTTGTGCACATCGTGGAGCTGCCAAGCGCAAAGGCTGGAAATGAAATCAAGTTGCCAACTATTTCATTTGTCCCAGGAACTCTATTTACAGAACCTAAGAGCTTTTAAGACACTTTCCTTATAACCTCTGGCTTGCATCTGCAATTTCAAGTGACCTGAAAAAGACATAATTAATGTACCGAGCCATAGGATTATATGCCTGAGCCAGGGCCCAGCATGAGCGCAAGGATGGTGAGGATGAATCCTTCAGCAGCTCCAGACTGAGTCTTCTTAGCCATTCCAACCAGTCATCTTTGGAGACTCTTCTTGCTGCTCCCCAGGCCTGCAGTACAAAGCAAAACAATTTAACTACCAATCTAAACAGAGCACAGTCCAAAAGCAGAAGAAATCCATCAAAAGGAAGCATTACTTCTTCATAACTCCAAATCTATTTCTGAGATTCCCTTTCCAATTCTCTGAAATCCATTTACAGTTACCAAATAATTCGCGGTAGATCAGTCTTATTTCTAAGAAATTCATTCTTGTCACAACAAATATTTAACATTGATAATTCTTTCCCTGCAAAAACCCATCAAGAGCTGAAGCTACTGTTGAAACATCAGCTTAAAAATACTTAAAGCATTTAGAACTACATTTTTAAGTCCAGCATTTTGAAGCCTATCCATCCTGATACTGTGCTGAATGCTGCAAACATTTACTGTTTAAATTAATGTAGCTATTAAGTTCTACAGCAGCTTGAAGAGAATACAATAAACAGTAAGATATGAGGGCAGTGGTTGATTAGAAAAAAGCAGAGGCTCTGAAGTAGATGCCTCTAGAAACTACAGATGATTCCTTTTAATCAAAGAAGCCTTCTTAATACTTCACATAAGGAGAAAGCATCAAGATTACTTCAGTTTTTAATGGCCAGATAGCGCAGCTGCTCCTAACTTTAAGCCCCTTAGCACCCTCTGATTTTGAAGGGATTCTCCAACACTACCTTGACCTTGTGCTTATGCAAAGCTAGCAACAGAAAAGAGAAGTAAAAGAGAAGTAAACAAATGTGTAGATGCACTGAACAAACTGCTTAGTTTAGACATAATAGCTTCTTCATCATTCTGTGCAGAGCTCCAGTTTTACCTTCTGCAGGTTGATGGTGCTAACATGTAATTTCTTCATAGGACCTGTTTCCACAGGACCACTGGCCAAGGTTTCTCCCTGGTTGCTTCTCAACATCCGATGTTGATAAATCAGGGGATCCTCCTCTTCATCAGCAAGAGTATAGCCCTACAATGAACAGTTCACAGTGAGGACCACACCTACACAGATACAAGCAGTTTTCTGTAAATCAAATGGATGATGGTCAGGGCATTAGCCAACCTCACAACTCAGTTTGTGAAGCAAACAACTGTGCTTCATAATAATGATTATTACAGCTTACAGTGAATTCGAATGATAGCCCTTTCATACTTAAGATAACTTTGTACTAAGATAACTCCTAGTATGAAAGGACAAAATAATACACCAATGCAGAATAACTTGACTTTAAAAACAAACACTTTATTTCTACTCATCTCATTACTCAGTGTGGGACAGCAATGCACTGCTTGTTCTATACTAAATTACACAGCAGTTAGTGAGTTTTTGAAATGTTGGCCCTACTGCAGAAAATGAGACCTTGCTATCTCATTGTTAGGTCTTGACTCTGTGGAAACAAGTAGGGGAAATTCACATGTAAGAATCTCCAGAAGAAAAAGCCATGATACTGACTACAAATTTCAGTTCTTATCTAGGACTTGCAGTGATTTTTCTGCGGGAAGTAACTGAGACCATTTGACAACAGTTTTCCCAATCAATCTCAGACTCCTTGCAGATATATACTTAATACATAAAGATAGCAACTACTCTTCACTTTACAAATACCTTGAAGTCTCCCGACTACATCAAAATCAACATGGAAACGTTCCTCAAGTACTTCTATGCTAACACCAATATACATTTCAACTAACCTTTACAATTCTGCAGATAAGAACATCGTAGCGTTGATGGTTAATCCTGTGTCGCACCAGAACTTTGTTCACCATCGGGATAAAGATCTGGTACTGCACAAGGGAACACATCAGAAACCAGTTACTCAGAAGAGCATAAAATCCCACCTTTGTTTCACTGATCTGATAAGAAACCAATTATGAATGTCTACTTTAGCAACACCCGAGTCCAGAATCAACTAAGAAATGGAAAGACTGTTCTATATAAAAACCCCAAAACACTATAACATAAATATTCAACTTCAAAGCCTTGATCTTTTGGACTATTCTCTCATCTATAACCCTTAGAAGTGCATTACCTTCTTTCCCAGCTGGAATACCAGAGAGGAGAGAGTGTCCATTGCAGTTGTTCGTAGCTCTGGGCTCTGATCCAGCGTTCTCACAATGGGATGAATAATTCGTGAAG